TTTTTTTAGTTTTATTCCCTTTATCCAATAAATCAAATCTAATCCAGAAAAACTTGTTTTCAATCGACAAAAAATGGATGTACATTGGAAATGATTTGTCCAAAATTTTTTGATTCAATCGACAAAAAATGGATGTACATTGGAAATGATTTGTCCAAACTTTTTTGATTCGTTTTTTTAAACGATTGATATTGTTACTCAAAAAAAAAAAAAAAATGAGTACAACCCGGAGGAAGAGATCTTGCCTCCTGCACCGACAAAAACACTGAAACCGGTAACTTAATACTCATCCCTGCTACTAAAGGAAGCAAACAAAAGAGTAACTAACTACTGAACTAGAAGAACATAGTCGGTTACTCAAGTAAAAACCAACAAGAGCTAAACAAGTAGCAACTAAGCAACTAAACTACCAAAACAAACTAAACACCCTAAGCAACATGATGGAATTGTTTTCTTATATAATTGTTAGTTTTCGATTATATAAATTAATATTATGTATTTCTAATTTTCTTACTACATAAGTTACCTTTAGTTCATTACTATATTTATATCATTACTTATGTTAAAAATAAATTTTAGTAAGGTTTATAAAGCTGGGCTTTGGGCTAAAATTCTGTTGAGCAGAATCACCACAAATAGGTTGGAGCAATAGAGAAGATTTTTGGGTATACCTTCAATAGATTCTTCAACTAGTTCGGTCAGTTGTATATATGGTTGGGCCGAGGCCGCAGTTGAGTATGTGGTTTGGGCTGGGCCCTTTTTTTTTAGCTTAAATACATGTTCACCGATGGTAATAATAGTCACAAATGGGTTGAAAAGTCACAATCTACAATCTGATTTCCAATAAACAATAGTCTAAATAAATGAGAACAAAATAATAATAATAATAATAATAAGAAAGAGACAACAACATCAATAACACACAAAAAAAAAAAAAAAAATTGATCCTAGTCCGAAAGGAGTCAAGACGAAGAGTCAGTATCACGAGAGAGTAGGAGCACCAAAAAGTAAGGCTGTCTACCCAAATTTGAACGATTGGTATCCCTTATGGTACATCCGTATAAAGGTAGGAAGGCGGAGAGAAATATCGTGAGGCTGAAGAATACGTCTATGGGGGGAGGAAGCTCCCACCAACGCTTAGGTTAACATGGAATTACGTTCCGTGAATTTCGTTTCTATTTTCATCTTTAACAATTCGATAAAATCACATGAATACATAACTTTTGTTGATGGAAACATCGGTATAATGACTAGTACCATTACAATTACAATACCCGTGTATTATTAGCTGGACAACTTATTTAATCAAGGGTTGTCGGTCCATGAATAATTAGTTCGGTTCATCGACTTGGAGATTGAGGAGGGGAAGAAGATTATTGGAGTAATCTAGCTCGAGTTAGCATCGTTGAATGACCTGATCATACTCGAGATAGTAGTAACTGACTTTATAAAGTTGTGTTGATCTATATTAGAAGAATATATATATGTGACTTCTGGATCAAGAAGACTATTAATAAATAAATAAAATTATTGTAATTAAAAAAAAAATTAACTACAAAAGCAAAAGAAAATTCCAACATTTACATATAGAAACATTCTTTTTTTTCAACTACCAAAAAATTAGAGCATTACAAAGAATTGAATTAAACATATAAGAATATGAGGGCAAACAAAATAAAGCGAAATGCTACAGTCCCGTTACGGAACCATTTCATCGGGATTTGTAATCGTTAGATCATCATATAACTGTCGTGGATAGTTGATCTAACGGTTACAAAGCCCGACGGATGGTTCCGTAACGAGATACCGTAGAATCTCCCAAAACAAATGTACACAAAACAAAATGCTTATATATGTATATCCATATAATTAATAAAATAATAAACATTCCATGTTTTAATTAGCTGTACTGAAGGCGCGACATTTGTCTCTGAAGTTTCATTTGCTCATAAAACTTTGCTATAAACAGCTCGGCCTTCACATCAATCCCCTCTTCCTCTTCTTCTTCTTCTTCTTCTTCTTCGTCTTCTTCTACTCCATTTTCGAAACTCTCGACTACAAAACTCGAGTCCTTGACACTATGGCAAGCTTCTCCCACATCGTAATCATAACCCTCTCCATCACCAAACTCGAAATCATAGTCGAAATCCACGACATGCGGCTCGATGCACGGGATGTGCGGCAACTTGAACCGCATGGACCCTAAGGGCCTCCGGCTCATCCTCACGTGAACAACGGGTGTCTCGTCGAACGACAGCTCGCGCTCCCCATAGATGAGGGCCCCACCACGTGGCGTCTGACTCGAGTGCCGGAGTTTTCTTAGCATTCCTTTCTCGACCGATTTCAGGCTCACGATCAGACGGTTTCTAAAAATGCCCCCCTTTCGGGCCCACAACAGCGCTAGCCGGACGAAGTCCCATGCCCTACGCCGGCCTCCTATCGAGCTCTTTTTCGGCATTTTTCTTTTTATATCTTGTAATATGTATGTTATATATATTTTTGACTTATAGTAAATTGAATAGAAAGTTGTTTGCCTTTTTTTTGAGGGTGATGTATTGAAAGATATGATGTGGAGTATTTATAATATATGTGTGTGTGTGATGGTGATTTGATTATTGGGTTTGGGTTACGCGGTGTGGAGAAAAGAATTAAGAAAGGGGAAAAGAAAACGTTAAGAGTGATGGTTGTGTGCTGGAAAATGCAGTATTAATCAATTAACATAGGTAATCATTCGTCGTTCCGTTACGAAATCATTTTGTCGGGTTTGTAATCGTTAGATCAACTATTCATACAGTTACATGATAATCTAACGCTTACAAATCTCGACGGAATTGTTCCATAACGGAACTGTAACATTTTTCTATGTTAATAATATTTTGGGAAGATTCTACTGGCCCGTTACGAAACTATTCCGTCGTTGTTTGTAATCGTTATATCAACTATCCACGACGGTTACATGATGATCTAACGGTCATAAATCCGGACGGAATGGTTCCGTAACGGGAATAACATTTCCCTATATATTTTGTTTGTTTGTTAATTTGCTGATTGGGCGGCCGAAAATTGGTTGTCCACGCGGCTGTACTGTACGCGGCCTCAAAGCTGTGATGTTACCACAAGTAGTACCATTGGGTCTCAAACGAAATTAAAATTGGAAATTATTAAATTAAGTAAATTTAACTTAAATCACTTCATATATTTATACAAATGCAAAATTGAAAATTTGTAATTCCTATGTTTTTTTTTTTATGTTTTTAATCTTATCTACAATTTTTTATATTGATAGATCCAATGTAGATCAGTATTTTATCAATGCTCATGAAGACTTGCAAATTTGCAGAACACTATATATTAGCTTAAACATAAATATTTTTTTAAAATTTAATAACCATTCATCTTTTATCAACTTATTATATGTAATAACTCAAGAGCGTTTGGATGAGATGGCTTGGGTCTCTTCTAACTTAACTAGTGGTCTCGTGTTCGAGCCCTGGGAATGCAGCCGTGTTAAAACTCTTAAGGGAGAGCTTTGCCGCCCTTGTGGTCCTACCCGGCTCGATTCCGAATTAGTCGGTTCCCTTGTGGATCCGAAAACCGGAAGGTCCCTGTACCAAAAAAAAAAAACTTATTTTATGTAATATAACAAATTAATCAACTTTTCATGAATCTTATTTGTATATTGCATATATAAATGAAAAATAATTATATCTACCTTGAAAAATGAAAGATAAATTTCTATCAATTATAATTTCAAAATAATAAAGTGATCATTTATTAATTAAAAATATTGATCTATCAAACATATTATATGACATTAGTTATAAAAAATATTATAATATAAAATAACATTATATTATATGGTATTAGTTAGAAAAAAAATATTACAATACAAAATAAAATTGTAATATAAGATGAGCGAGGATTAGGAATGACAAGCTTGATTTTAAATGCAATTTTTGTCTTTCAATTTTTTTTTTTCTTTTAAATGTGATTTTTAGATAAATTTCTTAATCAAGTGTTGTTGAACTACTCGTATATTCTGGTAGTGAGTTGATTATACATGCTTTACAATAAACCACATATGATATATGTATTTTTAAAATTACCATATATTTTTAAATATTTTACTAATACTTCTAATACTATTTTAAAATATGAATCAAGTGCAATTTAAATATATAATGTCATTATTTAATTAGTATAATGTTGTATTTTGAAAATTTTGTTTTTTATATGTATTTAAAAATTATTGTAAAATGGACGATAGAATATATAGACAAGTATATGTATATATATAGGGTGTTCGTTTAAAATCTATGGAAGTTTGTAAGTGCAGAAATATGTCATAAGCAACAGTAGAGCTGCTAAATGAAACAAGCTGCTCATGATCTCGGATTGTTATGGGCCTTATGGCTCGATTTTGGTTGAATTGCTTTGATAAATTAACGAGTCGAAATTGATCTCATTGAAAGCTCGTTCAATTAACGAGCCGGCTCAGCTCAACCCGTTGTGACTCAAAATGAAACTTTTATGTAACTTTCTGTAGTTCGGATTGTTAAGCCTCGAGCTCGACTTGTTAATATTAATAAACGAGTCGAGGTCGGACTCAATTAATGGTTCCTTCTGTTAACGAGCTGAGCTCGACTCGACTCGTTAGGGCTTGGGCTCGAACTCAGCTCGACTCATTTACAACCTTAGGTAGCAGCAAAACAGTAACAATAATAATAACAACGTGAAGAACACACAAAGGAAATTTTTAGGTGCACGTAAATCGAGCAATGATTAGAGCATCCACAACCGTTCTCATTCATTTAATCACAACTTACACTCTATCTCATCCACATTATGTTCACATCATCTTCTCACTAAACATCTCTTCATTTAAACATTCTCCTATATTGGCTGAATCCATTTAGATACAAATATATGAGACTCGTTATCTACTCAGTTAATATTATTTTTATATTAGATTATCAAATATTGAATTAAATATTAAATTAAAATAAAAAGACACAATTACCCCTATTCAATGGAATGAATGAATGAGGAAGGCCCACATCAAATGGATGTATTACATCCGATTTACGCTCCGTATGACATTCAAATCATGTGTAACGCATTATAATCTACTCAACACAAAAATTCCTTAAATAAAAATTAACATAACTATATAATCAGTGATCATTAAACTTTTTATATCAAAGTCCATTTAAAATTGGCTTGAGCTTATTCATTTTGAGCTTGATCAATATTGACTCATAAAATCCCAGGTTGTAAAAAAATGACACTTAGCCTTGAGAAAAATTGTGTTTACACGAAAAAGATATCATTATATCGATGTATACATTTTTGTTAAAAAAGAATATAATAAATCGATCATCCTAACCGTTAGATAGATTTATATGAAAATTTGTTGCATTGAATCAACATCCATCTTTTGTTTGTTGTGTTGGTTTCTTATTCTCCCAGTTAAGAAGTTGTTATTCTCCTCATGTAATATATGTTTTGTAAACTTAGCTAATAAGTTAGTTTATAGCTTTAAAGTAAATTTCGAGCTTATAAGTTGTGATTGAAAAAGCTAGCTTATATGATAAAAGTGCTGATAAATTTGGTGAAAGAAAATTTTCAATGGGTTTATTTGAAAATCTACTCAAGAAATCTTATGAGATAAGTTACCAAATCAAATGTATTTAAATACATAAAACTTATAAGCTAATCAAAAAGTTATAAACTAGCCTATAAGCTAGGATCATTCATTTATGGATCGTTAGATCTTCAGATCGGCTGGTCCATTCCAAGGTGGTGGTGGTCCCCCGGTTCTCGGTAATTAGTCAATCGAAAAAAACTGCTTACAGTTCAGGTCTTTTGGGGGATGGTTGTTGATCTTGTTCTATTTTTTTCATTTTGTTTTTAAGGGTGAAAACAAACAAGCCAAACCGAAAATGGAAATGTATTAAAGAAGCCATTAAAGGAGACCAAAGTTCTTTCATGCTTTTGGAAATGTTACAGCTCAAAAACTATTGCTGCTTTCAGAACATACATTTATATGCAACATGACATGCCCTACTTAACATCTAACGGCTATACATGAATTAGTAGTAAACAATCCACGGCTCTCTTGCTTGCACGTGGCAGCAACTGCATGAGATGGCTTGGGACCACAACCAGGCTGCATGGCTCTCTCTCTCTCTCTCTCTCTCTTCATGCATGAATCCACAGTAGCCTTTTCCATGATGTTGGATGGATCCACGTGGCATTGACTGGTCTGAAGATGATTAATAGGTTCAACACTCCCCCTCAATTCGAGCGAGGCTAAGGAACTAACACATACTTTGTTCCTAAGACGAGAGAAGAGTTGTTGGCCAAGACGTTTTGTCATAATATTTGCAATCTGATCATAGAAGGGAATCTGATTGATAGATACCATTTTAGCCTCTATCTTTTCCCTTACAAAATGCAAGTCAAGTTCTATGTGTTTGGTTCTAGCATGTAGAACCGAGTTTGTTGCTAAGTAAATTGTGCTCAAATTGTCCACCCACACAGTTGGAGTCTTAAGTTGCTCAACACTTAACTCCTTGAGTAGAGCCTGAATCCATGTAATTTCAGCAACATTGTGAGCTAAACTTCTGTATTCTGATTCAGTACTAGACCTTGAGAGAGATTTTTGTTTCTTTGCAGCCTAAGAGATTAAATTTTGTCCAAGAAAGACATAAGAGCCTGTTGTTGACTTCCTGTCATCTTGATCTCCTGCCCAATCTGAGTCAGAGAACCCTGTGATATTCAAGTGAGCAGACCTAACCACATGAAGGCCATAGTCCAAAGTTCCTGCCAGATACCTAAGTATTCTTTTTACATCCTTCCAATGAGTTGATAAAGGGGTTAGACATAAATTGGCTCACCTTATTAACAACAAAACTGATCTCAAGCCTTGTTATAGTGACATACTGCAAGGCTCCAACTGTGCTTCTGTAAAGAGTACCATCAGCAATTGCATCTCCCTCAAACTTAGACAAATGCAAGGATGACACCATATGAGTTGGGCATCCTTTGGCTCATGTCATGTTAACTCTCTACAAAATATCTTTTATATACTGAGTTTGATTTAAATGTAGTCCTTCTGAGGTTTCTTTTCCTAAGAAGTGCTGAACCCTTCCAAGATTCTTCAAGGAAAAACTTCTCTTCAAATTTTCTGTCACTTCCTTCAAGGTCACCTCACAATTCTCAGTTATGAGAATATCATCAACATAGATTAAAAGATAGATTTTCTTTTGATTCTTTACCATGATAAAAAAAGAAGTATCAGCCTTGGAATTTGTGAAGCCCATTCTCAACAAAACATATTTTATGTTAGCAAACCAACTCCTTGATGCCCGCTTCAAGCCATAAATGGCCTTTCTCAGTTTGCACACTTGATCTCCCTGCCCTTGTTCAAATCCAAAAGGCTGCTTCATGTATATCTCTTCTTCAAGAGTTCCATTCAAAAAGGCATTATCAACATCCAGGTGTATGATGGGCCAAGAGAAGAAAGTGAATATTGCCATCATGATCCTTATGGTTGTAGGCTTCACAACTAGACTGTAAGTATCTGTGAAGTCAAATCCTGGCAACTAAGAGAAACCCTGAGCAACAAGTCTTGCTTTGTACCTGGAAACACTTCCATTTGGGTTTCTTTTGATCTTAAAAACCCATTTGTTGCCAACCAAATTCTTTACCTCAGGTAGAGTAGTTAATGTCCAAGTTCTATTTTTTATTAAAGCCTTGTACTCCTCATGTATAGCATTTCTCCATCTATGATCTTTCATAGCTTCAGCTGCTGAAAAAGGCTCATTGTCAATAACATTAAACTGAAAGACCTCGGGTTTAAAAATGCCATGCTTTGACCTTGTCACCATAGGATGTTGATTTGTTGGTGCAGATTGCTCCTCAGTCCCTTGATCACTTTGAATTGGTGGCAATTGCACAACAAGTGGTACGGTAGTGTTACTCATACTCTTACTGGAGGTGCCTTGGTCTTCCTGATCATATTGATCTCTCAAGGGACTGAAATTGCTCCTGTCACTTTGATTGCTCATCTGAGGACTTCTTGCAGAACTAACTGCCTCAGTGTTCACCTTGAAAATTGTTCTAAGACAGGCAGGCTTATAGAATGAAAGGATGGATGATCCCTGTGGTTTTCTTGTGGTTTATCTTCATAAGGAAAGACATGTTCATCAAAGACTACATTTCTGGTGACAATCACCTTCCTTGAGGGCAACATTACCTTGAAACCATTGTAATAAGGGTTGTATCCCAAGAATATGCTAGGTGCAGACCTGAACTCTAGCTTGTGCTTATTAAGGGGTCTAGTATGAGGGAAGCATAGACAACCAAACACTTTGATCAAGGAGTAATCAGGTTTCCTCTTATATAAGGTCTCAAATGGTGAAACATAAAATAAGCCCTTTGATGGAATTCTGTTTATAATAAAGCTTACAGTAGTGACAACATCATCCCAAAATCTTGCAGGGAGTTTAGAATGGTGTAATAGTGCTAATCCCATTTCTATCAAGTGCATGTGCTTCCTCTCAGCAAACCCATTTTGCTGAGGGGTGTAAGGACATGAAATCCTATGCTCTATTCCACCTTCTTAAAATACCTTGCTCAAAGTTTTGAACTCAGTTCCTCCATCAGATTGAACTCTCTTTATTTTGGTGTTGAATTGATTCTCAGCCAAGTTCTTAAAGTGAACAAAGGCATCATGCACCTCAGTTTTGTTCTTAAGGAGGTATAGCCAGCTATATCTACTGAAATAATCCAAAAAGACCACATAGTACACATAACTGAGGTGCATGATGCCTTTGTTCACTTTAACCATTTGAAGATTTATATGGAGCTGGCCCCCACAAATCAGTATGTATAAGATCAAGGGGAGAATTAAAGACAACAGTAGAAGAGCCAAAAGGTAATTTATGACTTTTAGATACTGAGCATGAAACACATAAACCCAAATTATCATCAAAATTGTATGAGCAATTACATTGATAAATAGCTCTCTTAACAATATCCATGCTAGAGTGTCCTAACCTTTGATGCCAAAGTTTTAGGCTAGGAACTTTGTTTACAGAAACATAATTAACTGAAGGAAAAACATAATAAAACCAGATGCTTGAGACAAAGCTTGAGACTTCTTCACTGGCTGGAAATTGAACTGGTAAAGCCCATTCTTAACCTTCCCTCTGAGAAGTGTTGCTTGAGTTGTTTGATCCTTGACAAGACAAAAGGTATGATAGAATTCAAAATACACATCATTGTCATGAGCAAACTTAGACACACTGATAAGGTTCTTAGTAATGCAAGGAACATGTAAAAGCTCTTTAAGAATGAAGGCCTTTGATGCATCTGGACATTTAAGAAAAGTATTACCAATGTGACTGATAGAAACACCACTGCCATTTCCCACTTGGAGTTGATTTTGACCATCATACTCAGAGGCTATGTTGAGGTTTCCAAGCTCATTTGTGACATGTGCAGATGCTCCTGAGTCTGGATACTACACACTTTCTCCACCAAACTCAGAACCAGCATAGTGAGTCAATTTTCTTTTTTTAAAAAAAAAAAACATCCCAGATTGGGATGGGGGGTTGAGGCAACACCCCCGACCTGTGAATATAATGGTCCAGCTAGGGCTAAAAAAGTCCATGGTCTACATCCAAGTCGGAAATACATAGAGCAACATCAAAAGCAGATAAAGTAAAAAATAAAAAAAAAATAAAGATAAAAATAAAAATACAAGGATCACAAAAATATCCGCTGTGGATCAAAATCAAATCCTCGTAAAAGGTCGTCCTGGTAAGAGTGACCTGGCATGGAGTCCAAAATGGCAAATCTAGTCAGGGGCAGGAGGTGGCGGTCGGCCGAATCTGAAGGATGGGTACTCTAGCTGGTCCATCCGAATGAGCGTCCGAAGCCGGAGGGGAATGTCCTCAGGAAGAAGGGTGCGTCTCTGGGGTATAGATGCCCCCGTGCTAGCTAGGAAGTCGGCAGGCCGGTTCCCCTCCCGGAATATGTGTGAGACTTGGTAATGGATCGAGCGGAGGGTGTCTCTGATACGCATAAGAGGATGCTGGATCTGCCATGAGCCGTGGTGGCCAGATGTCAAAAGTGTGATGACAGCCGCAACATCCATCTCAATCCAGACATGAGAGGAGATCGAGGCGGCAATCTCGTGACCAATCTGGAGCGCCTGAATCTCTGCATCATAACTCGAGGAGGCCTGGAGTGGCCCATTGAAGGCAGAGATGAGGCCCCACCGTGATCCCTAATCAGGCCCCCTCCTCCAGCAGCTCCGGTATGTCTGTCGAAAGTGCCATCAGTGTTTAGCTTAACCCAAGGGGCCTTGGGTTTCAGCCAAACAACGGTCCTAGGACGTGGATGCTGGACAGGTAAAGGAGGTGGTGACCTCAAACGATGTGGCGGTATACACCCTGTCCAGTCTTTAGTCAAATTTAGAATGGTGTAATAGTGAGTCAAATTTAAGGTATGACTTATGTTCACCCTTTGCCGTCGATTATTGGGTTTTAGACCATAGTTCCCGATGCAATACACATCGCCTTCTTTAAAGACATCACGAAATAAGCCCAATTGTTTGTAACGTATTAATCCACTTATTTGTGTGCCCTACGATAAGAAAATTTGAACCGAATAAATAAATAAACAAATAAATTATAAAATTGGACGTATGAATGTAAATAGATTAAATATACAATATAAATAAATTACTGATGAAATTGAATAATAATTGAACAATAAATTGCCCGTGAATAAATTAATCGAATAATAAATGAACAACTCATTAAATTGAATCGAATATTGAACGAACAACATATGAAAATATTACCTCTATGTCTTCAAATATGATGGCACGGAAATTCTTGGTCTCATCTTCATAATTTGTTTCAACTATTAGTGTAGCTTTTAATTTCAAGAAAGGCATGTTCACTCTAGTAACCGCGCGGAGTGTATAAAAAACTGGTGCCATTTTTTTCTTTTTTTTTTTTTTAACGATGTGCCTTTTTTTTGCAGATTGATTCGAAAAAGAAGTGAAGAAGACCTAATGGAATGATGGATTTATATAGGCTTTTACAAAGTTGGTTGTAATCCCTTATTTTTTGTGATTTTGTGTATTAATTTATGTACAATATCCATCAAAAAAAAGGAAAAAACCGAGTAATTATGTTATAATGTAAATCAGATTTTTAAAAACGTGATGGAATGATATCTCATCCTAAATATAAGGATTTAGATGACTACAAATAAACAAAACAATAAACGGATCTCATTAATCTCATTAATTAATTAAAAAATAAAGTCCAAAAAATTACTGTAGGCGGGATTTTGGAGCGGGAAAAATGAAAGAATTTTTTTGGAGTTTTTCAAACATTTTTCAAACATTAAACCTTAGCATTTTAATATAGTAATAGATGTGAAGTGGTCTATCCAGCTCGATTCCGGATTAGTCGGTTCCCCTATGGATCTGGAAACCGGAAGGTCCCTGTACCAAAAAAAAAAAAAAAAAAAACTAATCAATATCAATAGAATTGCTAGCTAAACATATTAACTTACAAATTTTACCTACTAAATTGGACCTATCCTACATTACAATTTTCCTAACACAAAAACCATTACAATCCATTATAATAATAATAATAATATTAATAATTATAATTATTATTATTATTATTATTATTATTATTATTATTATTATTATTATTATTATTATTATTATTATTATTATTAATCCACACCATGTCATTATTGTTAAAATATTTCTTTGTACTTCTTTTGAGTAATAAGACAAAAATATTTATATTTTATATTAATTGAGTAATAATTGTATTTTTTAATTATATCATATAATAGTTATTAACTTATTATGGAAATTAATAATTATATTTTACACTAGATGACATAGAAAGTTACATAAACATAAAAAAGTTATATTGTAATTTTTTTTTGTTCAAGTTATTTTATTCTAAATCAATATTTTTTTTATCTGATTAAGCAATCTATAAATATATTTAAAAAGGTTGATGGTAAATTCACTTTTGAAAAGCTAAAAACAACAGTCAAAACTTTGACTTTCTAATTGTGGAACATCTTTAAAAAATTTGGATTTTCTTTTTTGTTGACACGTTGCATAATTAACGGGATTAGATAATTAAAGGGATTGCATTGCATAATTAACGAAATTAAGTGGGATTTTTTTTTGGTTAAATATATTAGTGATATCATCTGGAATTCTAATGCGTGTATATGTATGCATCTTTTTCATATCAATCTATTTTAAAAAAACGTGTGAAATAAATATACTGATACATAATATCGTTAAGCATAGATATAGAGGAGTATTTTTCATATCAATCCATTTATTTTGTAATCTCAGCCTTATAATTAATTATTTTATTATTGATATAATCTTTAATTTGATTAACATGATATAAAATATAAAATAAGATAACCATGTGATTAAAATATGGACGTCTAAATAAATGGGATACATCAGTATAATAAAATCCAATCCAAAAATATTTTCTCATTCTTCATCACACATCCACGTGGAAAAAAATGCCTAAACTAATTTCCTAATCTACCGCACAAAATCTTATATTTTATTTATTAAATTTGTAATTTAAATAAAATTATCTACACAAAATAATTAAATCGGATTGTGATATAATTGTTCAAACTTGCATTGATTTGTTACCTAGGCGTGTTTGGATATAATATTTTTATTGGATTTCTTTTGAAAAAGTGGTATAGTTAGTTGATAGCATGATTTTGAGTTATATTAGAACTAGTACTAATACCCATGTACAATATGGGTGTTGAGTTATTGAATATATGTGTAACGTTATTTATGTCTATTACCAAACCTAACTCCAGAGCAAAAATAATATAGAAACAACATCACAAAGCATAGATTTTCGCCATGTCAGCATCCGAAGCGTGAGAATCTGCCACCTTGGTTCAACACGTTTTGAATTAATATATAGGGAGGGATAATATTTAAATAAAATAATTAAAGCTGATTTGATATAAAAGTATGAAAGAAGTAATGTGAAGTGATGTTTAAATATCATTATGTGGGTGAATAAATAGTATTTAAATTAAGGTGGATATAATATGTAAGAATCAAATATTGAGATTATTTAATTATATTGATAAATTGAGGATAGTGAGGTTATATAGTATTATTTTATAATTATTAACAGCTTTGCTTTGACAATTTTCGCCAACGCCTCTTCTTCTCTGCAACCCTAAACCCCTCTTCTTCTCTCGTCGGTAATCTTCGTACATCAACGCCTCTATCTCGGTTTTCCTTCCTCTCTGGTAGTCCCCCTTGCCGCCCGGCCCTCCCTGATGTCGCGACCCTTCTCGCCTCTGGTGTCGTTCATCCCTAATTCGATTTGTCCGAAAATCGGGTTAGGGTTCGCCATTGATGGCTACTTCGGTGCTGAGGAGGGACCTTGGGTCGCAGCGATTTGGAGCAGGGTCGGGTGCGGCCTTGTCAGTCCTCTCTCCCTGGTTGGAGGCCTTGGGTTTATCAGGAGGTTCTCTCCCCGAATTAGTCCCCTTTGGTGTGCTTTTCGATCGCCACGGGGTTCTGGAGCTGTCGGTCTGCTATGTTCCTTTTCGTCGGTGGACTGGTGAGTGAAGGCGGCAAGCTTTGGTTGTCGATTAGTCGGTTGCCGGTCTCAATTGAGAGTAAGCTTCCTTTCTTGCCGCTCTTGTCTCGGTTTTCTTTTGACTGCGGCTGGCGGTGTTCTTTGGTTCGTGGGTTGGGCTCTTGATTAGCTCGGGTGTTTTGGCTTTTGGGATGGTGGTTCTGGGGCTGCGGTGTTGAGTATGCTCCTTTTCCCGGTTCCTGGGTTTGGATTCCGGGTGGTCAAGGTTTTTCTGAGTTCGCTAGTGGTGTTAGGGGGCTCGGTTGGATTTGTTGGGAGCTCCTTGGTGCTTTTGGTGTTGGGGAGAATCGGCTTTTGGTGGGTCTCGTGGCTCGAGTTGCGATTCATCTAGGCTTAATTGCAGTGGAGGGTCGTTTTATCTCAAGCGGTGGGTCTCCCCTGGGTTGATTTGGTGGCTGCTAGTTTGGTTCGGAGTAGCTGTAGAGGGAGGTCTTGTGTTTGTATTTTTTGTAGTTCCTTTTTGTTGTCTTGTGTGGTAGGATCGTGTTTTGGTTTAGGCTCTTTGCCTGAGTGTTGGTGTTTGTTGGTTTTTTTGGTTTGGGCCGTTGGCCTCTGTGCGCCCGAGTGTCACTGTGCGCCCGAGTGTCACCTTATTACCCTAGTGGGGTCCGACACTCGGGTATTACCCTGTTGGGGTCCGATACTCGGGTATTACCCTGTTGGGGTCTTTTAGTTGTTTTAGTGGTTTGTGTTGTTGGTTAGTGTAGTAGCGAGTGTTTTTTATTCTAGCGTTGCTAGTCGGGATTCTAGGCGGTCTTCAGACCTGTCCTCCCACTTTTTCAGCTGTTGGCTGCTGTGTATTCGCACATTTGTACTTTTTGATTTATAAAATCTCCTATCGTTTCGGCAAAAAAAAGGATAGTGAGGTTAAATTAAAGTTGAGTAGAATTAAAATAATTATTAATATTCCAAACTATTTGTATCAATATCCCTTCATTGTTTTAATATATGCAATTTATAATTAATGTTGCACGGGCCACGTACTTGTAGTTTTTAAATAAATTAATTTATTTTAATGTAATGGTAAAATTTCTTAAATCATAAGCAATTGTTAGGATAAATATAATACTTTTCAACTAATTAATTAGTTATAGCCTTCAAAATTACAAAAAATATATTATTTATTACATTTTATGCAATCAATATAGTGATGCATATGCAATCAAATTATTATATACTATTTATTTTAACCAATTATCAAATTTTAAAACATAATACCATTAGCTAACTTATAATTTTGATATTATATGCATAAATATAATTTATAAGTGTATATTAAAATATAATATTATTATCTAACTTGTAATTTTAATATTATATGCATACAAATAATATTATTATTTTATTTATATATATGCAAATGCACACGGTCAAATACTAATAACAAGTACTAAATTAAGGTTTTATTTCAACTCGGAAAAAAGACAATCTATATGATGGATCGAAAGATTAAAACACGGTCATCTCCACTTTTAATTTTTTTGTTTTAAGATTTTTTTCCATGACTATCAGTTTAAGAATTTTTTTTCCCAGTTAACAATTTACACCTTTAAAAATTCACAATTATCATGTGAAATAGTTGGGTCATATTTTTTTAAAAAAAAAAATATTTATAATGTGAAACTAGTACCAACACTTGTGAATTACAATATTTATATTTAAAGTAAAAAAAATATATATTACACTTAAATTCTAAAAATAAAAATAAAATATTTAAATTTTGAAAACATTGTATTATTATTTAAAATGACACTCTTCATTTTTGTACAGTTTACTTGTTTTATATATATGTCTAATTTAAGAACAAAAATAGGGTATAGTATTTTTTAGAATCAAACAATAATTTTTCTCAGTGTCGTCCCAGCACTCACAGAGGACTCGTGTCCGCGACCCCGCAACCTAGATATTTCCAGTGCCGACCTAGCACTCATA